CAGAGATAAGACTTGAACCATGTAAGAATGCATTACCTATGGCAGATGCTTGAAGTTTCATGAAGAAGAAGAAGAAGAAGAACTTCTTCATGTGCAGTATAGTGTGATCAACTGTATCAAATGCCTTTTGTAGATCATGCAATACTGCCTTTGTCCATTTCAATTTTAATACAATCTGTTAAATGAATCAAACATGTGTCAGTTGAAAAAACACTTCTAAACCCTGACTGAAACTGCCTGACCATGACTCGAACCCATGACTGTCAGATCAACTGCTATCCGGCTGGCTACACATTTTCTTTTTAATAATGAAACAGTTCTAAACCACAACATATTTCCCCACTATATTGATTTGTGTCCTTGAATTTCTGATGTTTACAGAGCATAGTGAATTAAACTCAGGGTTATATGCAGTCACAGGATGAGAAAAACTTTCAGCTTGACCAGAACTCGAACCTGTGACCCACAGAATAATGTACCGCGGCTATAGCGATTGAGCTATCTGGCCGCTTACACATTTTCTCCCCTAAATAGTGAACAGTTCTTAACCGTGACAGATACTTTTAGATTTTTAAATTAACAGGTAGATTGATTCTTGGATTAATATAACTGCACATATATATCAAGTGTTTAAAATTGATAACTTCAGGATGTTATCCTTTCTCTGTTTTAATATATGGACATGGGCACCTATATACATAGCTTTAATTTTCTATCTTTCATTTTTACAAAAGGCTATTTTATTAACAATTTATATACAAACACATAGAAAATAATAATTAGTTTCACATAGTGATTAGAAGATTCCTGTAGCAGAATACCTGTAGGCATCGTACTAACTAAACAAACTAGAAAAATCCAGTCTAAGGTATATAAAGCTAGTAAAAAATATATATCAATATTCACTCCTCAGGGCCTCTATGCTTTTGATGACCTTACAACTGGTAAATTTTTATACAACAAAAATAGTAAGTAACACCTAAGATAGACAGAAAAGAACAAATAATTTAGTAAACATGAGTTACTGCCCCTTAAAATAGAGAAAACCTGAAACCCAAAAGAACACCATAAACAGCAAAATTATGAAATATTGCAGGCTCAATTTTATTAAGCCATGCAAAGCAATGGTAAAGTATTCATAAAAAGTTAAATGGCCATGTGATTGCAGTAATTGCAGAAAATCGGATAGCTTTCAAAATCCAGATACTGGTACACTTTGTAAAAACAATCATTCTGTGCAATAGATAAACGTAATATGGATAAAATCAATAGGATAATCGTTTACAACAGTTCCATTACCTATCCTTATACTCATTTGCAGGTGAACATTCTTCTTGTAGGAAAATTTTGAAAATATATAAATGAGGCATCAATGTAGACCACAACGATATTCGAAATCCTGGTTTTAGCAGGCGTTTTAGTATCTAGGGACAAGCCGTTAAACTGAGCCTGCAATTTTGTGAAATTAATATCACAATGCACATGCTTTTTAAATAAAGTTTTTAACAACATATTTGTTTACTTGATTTTTACGAATCAAAATAAAAATAATTAACACAACATGATATTAACTGCTAATGATAACAGCTCCTTCCATATGCAAAAGTCGTTTTTATTGCAAAACTGGTTATGAAAAACTTGCAACAAAATTATGTCATCACAATGAGTTTTGCAATAAATTATTGCAAAACTCGTTTTTATTGCAAAACCGCCTGTAACAATGGTTTACTTTAGTTGTCAAACCTCTAAAAACCTGACAAAAATAGTCATTACTTTCATTGGACGATTCTGGCAAATACGAAAGAAGATTTGCTCATTGGTTTCATTTGCGGTTATTGAAAAAAGGAATAGAAAAAACAATCATCCTTAAAGTTCACTTTTAAGTGTATTTGTTAAAAAAACAAAGCAGTCAAGATAATTATAACAATTATTAAAAAGAGAAAAGAATTTTAAACAAACACATCAAAAATTTTATTGTAACATTAACATGATCATTTTGTCTATCACAAAAGTTTATTTTTAAGTAAATTTAAATACACGTTATTAAAAATCTATAATTTCTCAGAGTTTTTCAATAGTACAATTGAATTTAAACAAGAGGATAACGATGGCTTTTCATATAAGTAAAATAAGTTGATCCGAACTAGAATTTATCATTTCATGTTTGCACTTTTTTGTTAATGAAATATTGAATGTTTTGAAACAATTTGAATACAGCAAGGTTTGTCTTTGTTTATGCTTTCAGAAGCCGAGTTGCACTCGTCTATAAGAACCAATACATTTATGTAGTGAAGATTTTCTTCAAATACAACAGTTATTTGTGCATTTCAAATGCATTGCATAAAATGAGCGGGTGGTGGTGCAGTTTACTCTCTGGTTAACGACAATAAGCCACAATGAATTCACCAGAGCACAGTTCAGCCACCACAAATCGTTCTTTGGTTTAAAGTTTACTAGATCTAGTTATAGATGCAGGAACTGATAAATTAAAACCACTTCTGTTCATGCCAATGCAGACATTCGAATCGAACTGCCGTAAATTGAACTTCACAACTAGTCGAATAGTCCGGAATCGCTATCTGCTAACCGGACGGTAAAGGCGGGAAATACTGACGCGTTTAAATTGTCACGACGCTGAAAAGGATAACTTTATAACGATGAATATTGACGCGCCTGGTAAACAACAGTGCGAGCTTTCTCGTTCGGAGGTATACTGTATTGTTCTATTGCTACGTGTCTCAACAAAGGTATTTAAGTGTTGTCATATTTTTTGTAAGTTCTGCATCGAAAATCGAAAAATGCTGATGGATTTATGTTTAAACTGTTAGGAAGAGTTTTCCATAACTTTGACAGCAAATTCAGCGTTGAAATGAACTGTTTTACATTCAAAGAAACGCAAGTACCTCTTATTACATGTTTTTCAGTGCAGAAAGCAGAGAATTTATATTTTGATAACTTTAAGAGATACCAAAACATATTTATGATAAAAGAATTCTATAGCTCTATTATTTAAATAGATCTATTTAAGATTAATAGATCTAATAGCAAAAAAATCATCAGAAATACATTTCGTCGTTAATAAAATGTTATTGACTACTTGAAGCACATGGAAACTTGCATATACCGTGCTAAAATGTAACGGAATTCCTTAAAATTTTACAGAATTATTTTTTTTTTCAACAAAAACAATGTGACGTCATGGTTTGATGACGTCATGGTTGAGGGCATATGTCGTTAATGCGGCGTTTTCTCTGTGTGTATATCTACTTATTGTCTCACTGCTCTGACCATAGGTGTTCGGCGCGTTGATTTGTCACTACCCCCGGACCAATTCCCCATCCCCCCTACCTCTCAAAACCATGTAAACTGCTGTATTTTTCATTTTAAAACATGTTTTATTATTTGGTATAATTTATGCTTTTAATTAAATTACCTTCATCTCCCACAAAAAGAAAAAAAAAAAATGATATATATAATATATTTAGTACTAAATATAATCTATATATATATCATTTTTTTTATTTTTTGTGGGAGATGAAGGTAATTGAATTAAAAGCATATACCAAATATTAAAACATGTTTAAAATAAAAAATACTGCAGTTTACATGGTTTTGAGAGGTAGGATCGAGGGTTGTATGGTGGGTTGGGGGGTTGGCCCGGGGGTAGTGACCAATCAACGCGCCGAACACCTATGGCTCTTACTTGTGGTTTTATTGCTTTATGTTATAGGTCACAATTAACTCCAAAATGAGCAGTAAGATAAACAAACGTAAAAACAACAACAACAACAACAACAAAAAACGACGAATGAATTTCATATTTCAAAAATACACACACACACACATAATTATTTTCAAACAAGATCACATTATACATGTACATTGGCGACATGACTACCTCCTTCATGATAGAGTAGTCTCGCAGAACAAGTATAATAAATTCCCTTTTATTATTAAGTTTAAATTCCCTTTATTTTTTTATTATTATTTTTTTTATTTTAGACTTGGAATCTACTTGAAACGTGTTCATTTTTAATCTAGATTGCTATTTCAATGCAAATGTTTAAGCATTTTTTTTTCAAAGTCACAGAGTTCATTTCCACGCTAATTTCGCTCACTGAGAAACTCCGCCACAACTACACTTCGAACTTCACGTTTTCTGGAAATTTTAATCAAATTATCATATACATATTTATCTTTTCATCAGCGTTCTTCAATTTTCGATATTCAATGCAAATGTTACAAAATTATATGGCAACACTTAACCTTTTCTGACTCTTAAAGTGACACAATGTCAATCCAAGGGTATATAATTATAGTGAGTTAAGAAATGAACATTTAGTTTATATATTTTGCCATATTTAATTTACCTCGCATGAACGGTAAAATTTTAATAACTCACATGTTTTACATGTAACATCAAATTTATAAAAAAGAAGAGGGCACTTTTTTTACATTTTCGGCAGATTTATATTTTATCCATTGTTTTAGTAGATCTATATAAATTATACATGGTTTTGTGGGTAACAGTAAAAATATCGTCCAGCGGAGAAGACAATTACCCAGGCCTAACCCACAAACCCATGTGTTATTTATTTTATTACGCCGAACAAGTTATTTGGAATTTTCAACTAAATCTCACAGACACTTGGGGTTTGGAGCTCAAAACGCCTTTAAAATCCAAATAAAATGCATATTTGTCAATCCCAGCACATGTACTGATCATATATATTAAAAAAACATAATATAAGCCGTTTTGAAAAAAAATCATATTTCAACATCTATAATAATTATAGATTTTTACCCTGTAACAGTACAAATTTCTTAGTCACATGGCACACTTGCTTTAACAGTAAGAATAACTCCCCGCGGCCTATGGGAAATTTACATTACAAAAAAGTGAGGGGTAATAATATCAACTGTTGGTCGTATCGACATCGAGGGCGATCTACCGTATGCCTCCGAAAGAGATCACTCTTGTTTACGTTAACTCTAACGTATAAACAAATAAAGCGATCCGTATTGGAATGCTTATATATTGACCGTACATTGGGAAATAGAGCACTTAACTTTATACACGAGTGAATTAATAATATATACACATGTATCCTGAGATAAACATAGAGGTTAGATATTTATGGAGATCGATGAAACATTTTGAAATACAAAACCTTCCTGTAGCTAGTGAAACGACGCTGAAGAAATTCAATCGATGAAAAACTAGGACAAATAATATGTAAAATATTACACAGGTGTATAATGTTTTGAAGAATACGTTTAAAAATCTGGAGTTACAAATAGTGATATATATATTTTCAAAAAGGAACTTTTATATTATACAGAGTAAAGATGACAGCCGAAGGTTAGTGCCTTTTTTATTATACATTGTATTCCTATTATATATTTAACATATTCAGTCAATAACATTTAATATAGTGAATGGTTACCTCTTTCAGGGAAACAGTTTATGACTGTTTCCATAAAAGTTTATAAGAATATCTTTCCAGAAATTATGGGAATGAAAAGTGTTCATAGTTTTATACAGTGCCAATCTCGATATTTTCGGATACATACTAGCATTAAAGCAGAAAACAAATGGATATACACCCGTCCACCACTATCCCACTAAATATTGAATGGATTATTGTTAATGTGGACACTTCCATTGAGGATATTTAGCTTTGTAAAAGACTAAAAAACTAATAATTATTGCAAAATCCTAATTTGTTACTAATAAGACACTGTCACTGAACTTGTGAGGTGAACAACAACACAAGTTACATGTCTGTAACCGACTATAAAAGCATTCTGTCATGGCTAGGAATCGAACTACGTCCGCGAATTTTAGAGCATGAACCTCTGTGAGACGTTCTAGGCAAGGCGTTACCTATACATGTAGATCTTTATCTGTCCGTGTCGATTTTACGCTCGGTGCCAATATAAAAGACTGAGAATCCTTTAGAACTGTTCGGGAATCGAACTCGAGACCACCCACTCTTTTGGGGCACACTGCCATGTCGCTGGAAAACCAGGAGGCACTTTAATCCAACCTTATCATCTGCGTATTTACTTGCCAACCCCACCCCCACCACAAAAAAGAAAACCAAAAAAACACATTCATGACAATAACAAGGTACATGACTGAAGAAAAAAATGACCGAGTTAAAAATACAAAAAGATGTGTCATATTCTTTCAAACGTTAAAAAAGGATATTGTTAAATTGTAAAACATTGGTTTCAAGTCAATGCATATATACAAAGGTAAGACTACAAATGAGGAAAATAAGCCGAGTATGGAGAAATAAATGTGAACAAGATATGAGCCGTGTCACGACAAAACCAACATAATGGGTTTGCGACCAGCATGGATCCAGACCAGCCTGCGCATCCGCGCAGTCTGATCAGGATCCATGCTGTTCGCTTACAAACCCTATCACAAGTAGAGACACTGATAGCGAACAGTCTGGATCCTGATCAGACTGCGCGGATGCGCAGGCTGGTCTGGATCCATGCTGGTCGCAAACCCATTATATTGGTTTTGTCGTGACGCGGCTCATATTATAATCAAATGTAACTAGATCCACTTGACGGAAAGATGTAAAATATCAAATATATCTATAGATACTTCTCTTCTTGTTGTATATCACACCACTATACAAATGTTGATTTGATAAAAACAAACAGTTCGACGGATAAAAATAAAATACCTTTGTATTCTTGTTTACTTGCTTTAAACAAGAATAGATAGGAAATAACAAGTATTAAAACGAATTATAAATCAATAAATATGTATGTCGAAAACTTTCCCTTTTGAAAGAGGTGATGAAAATATTGGCATGCATGAACTAGTAATGGGATTATATGACAGTGACAATATATTTTAGTAATCAGGTTATTTCAGTACGGCGGTATAAAAGATATATACTGAAACAAAAAAGAAACTTTCTCCAAGTTTGAATGTAGATAATATTATGTTAGTACAGTTTTTCAATCCTTTTGAAACTCGATTTTTATGTTGAATAAACATATCGGGCTTTTATACGGGGATTAGTTGACCGATTTTGCAAACAAAACGAGTTTTACAAGCTACTACATGTATATAAGTGTGAACATCTAAGTGGTACCCTTGAACAACTGGCACATACTTTGCGAAAGTTTCTTTTTTGGTTCAGTACTACCAGCAAGCACATGCGTTGACAATCAACTTTGTTACGTAATGGTTAACACGTGCGGACCTGATAGTTGACATATTTACACTTAAAGGCATTACTGGTGCACGTAATGATAAATTTGTACGCACGTGCTATTATAAGGATGCACGAAATAGTCAACATGTTCGCGCGTATAAGCTTTTATACGTACAAATACAATAAACTACTTATACAAGCACATGCGATGGTGGTAAATAAATAAAATATTTCTTATCTCACCATATATAACTTAACTTTCTTATCATGAAATTCAGTCTTAAATGTAGTTTTTTTAAAAGAGAAAAAGACCGTTTTAATACATAAAATAAAGGGAAAAATTTAATCGAATCACAGTAGCAACAATTTACAGCAGATTTGAAATGAACGTAATATAATTAGGATTTCCTCTTGTTTTGTAATGACATGTTTTTATTACATGCTTTTCGGTGGTTTATTGAAATATATCAGTGATATAAAAACTGGTAATTTCACTGTTTGAAACAGTAAAATTACCACTTTGATAATTTCACTGTTTTTAAATTTAAGCCCCTTACGTTGTTTCAGTGAAATACAAGCATGCACAGAACTGGGTACCAACTTAATGACGTGCGTCTTACATGACGTCACGTTGTATTATTATTTGGCGCGCTTTTCATTCAGTATTAGGTTTAATGTCTTTTTTAAAACGTTTCTTTGCATATAATAAAAAGAAAATTTGTTTAGTTTAGTGTAAGATCGAAATATATTTCACCTTGTGAACACCAAAAGTTCATATTTCACTCGTGGCTGCGCCACTCGTGAAATATTCCTTTTGGTGCTCACTCGGTGAAATATATTCCGATCTTACACCGAACTAAACAAATATCCTCTATATATTTACGCCGCCATTTTGTATTTAAACGTTTAATATGTGTTGTTTTTGTTCAGTTGGGTTCCATCCTATATAGTGTCATTAATAGCAACCTAGTTTTAACTGCAAAACACTTAGTATATATTATACAATTTAAATAATATGTAATACTGTATACGATTAAGGTTATTTTACAAAATGTACACAGCTATTCGTATCAAATGAAATAAAAAAGATAACAAAAAACGTCAGAAAAATGACTTAAAGGTAAAACTTGCTATATTATTGCTACAGCTATATACACACTCGCTTTTAAAAAAAGTGAAGTGTTTTTTATTGTTGTAAGGTATGTATGTAAACAACCATATATTTTGATATTTTGTTTGCCAAAACGTGACCTTACAAAAACTATACAACTAAATGAAAGCTTGTTATAGGTTTACTTACCAAATTATATACATTGTTTTTAACCAAGTCATTGTGTTATGTACGTATTGCACGCTACGAAAAACCTTTAATTCAAAGTGACGTTATGCCCATCCAAAAGTAAATAGCGAGTGTTCATGTAAAATTTAAATAACTTTACATTTTGTCATATGTTTGTATTTAGTTTAATATAAACATCACCTGATTAACCGCCACATAAATATCTATAAATATCCTTCATAAACTATCTGCCATGTTCATTTTATAAAATAATATTAAGGCAGTCTTTAATTATTAAGGCAGTTTTTATTTTTTATCCTAAACATTTGTAAAAAATGAATTACTAGTATCGTTTAACCCCTATTAAAATAGACAATCTTTTGAAATGTACAACTAACTTTTGAAAAGAATGAACGCAAGGTTACTTTAACCAATATTTTGTCAGGCCATGCTGAATATTGATTTGGGTAAAAATGGCCGATATTATCACTGTTGATTATTTCACCATTCATCTATTATTTATTACGAGGCTTAATATAAATGTCAAATTATTACAAAAATTCGTGTATGTATCAATAGCAACTCTTTGTCTTTTTAGAATGCATCAAACTTGATTATTAAAGTGGTAATTTGAAGTCGTACTCGTATTATGCTAAAGTTTATTACAGTAGAATCCCTTCTAAAAAGCCACCTCAGAATTAAGACCACCCGCTATTGACAAAATTGTCTGTTCTTTATGTCAATGATAACATGATCCAGAATTAAGACCACCTCACTTATCCACTTTTAAGACCACCAAATTCAGTCCCAATTCTTTGTTTTGTTCTTTATTTGACCTCACTATTGAGACCACTGATATTAAAGTCAACACCTTCCTAGATCTTAAATGTGTTGTTATGTTGTTATTATCTGCTTGATTGATATAAGAGCACTTTAGTCCAGTCCCGATGTTGGTCTTATTGAGGGTTTTACTGTATATACCATTTAAAGCAGCATGCCTCAAGATTCATGCTATTTTTCATGAAAATTTTGAAAATGTAATGAAAAGTATAATATTGTGAAGTGAACAAAGACAGTAGTTTACACATTGCAAACGGCTCTTTCAATCAACGTAAGTTACCAAAACGAGGTCAAAATATACATAAATATCTCTTACTGCGTTAGTAACGCAGTAAAATTATAGTGATAAAATTCTAAAAAAATCAGTCATTAATCGCACAAAACATGTAAATATCTAATTAAATATTGAATCTTTTTACATTTCTTAAGATCTTAATTATTTTTTCTAAAGTTTGAATTTCTTGAAATATTTTGGTTCATCTGGAGACGTGCAGCTTTTTAAAAAAACAGCGCAAAATTGGCTAAGTTAGCACAAAACCCGATCATGGCATCGAACATTCTTTGAACTCCAGATTCAAAATCAAATTAGTAAGTTCCATGTAATGTAATAAAAAAAACCTTCCTGGACACAGGAACTAATGTGTATAGAGTAATAAACATTTTATCGCGTCTTGCATATAATATAAGAAATGAAACATTTATCTTTTGTTTTCATAGAAGAAGGACGTGACAAGGCCCTGCGATTCTACAAGATTTTGGGAGGCCTACTTGGGCTGCTTGGAATTGGTCTGCTGACATGTGGAATTATCGCTGTGATGAACAAAAGTTCGGAGGATTTTGGAATGCCTTATTTTCTTGGTGGATTCATAGTAGGAATACTGGTATAACATGATATTTTCTTACAATGTCATTTTAATATTTTATTGAACTTAACTAACATATTTGTAAATGTACCACATAACGTTTGAAAATGTTGGTAAATTATACATTCCTGTGATATTGTTTTTTAAGACAAACTGTTTGATTCGCAAATAAAAAATTGTACTATTTTGATTGCTTTATTTCCTCACAAGGGAGACTACTGCGTACAACCTTGACCCACTTCCTTTACCATAGTTTTATCCCGTTACATATCGTTGATTGAAATGGAAAACCAAACTTTTACTTAAATTATTATTATTAATTATTTATGATGATTATTAATTATTTTATTATTATGATTATTTAATGACACTCGGATGAATCGTTTTCCAAGAGAAAGCATGTTTATGTGTAGTTGTGTACTACACCTAAAAATGTGACTTTGTCACGCTACGTTACTGTACTAATCTATGGAATTAATAATTATTTGCCCATAGTTTATCGTTAGAAACAAAATGCTGGAAAATGTAAATAAGGTTTATACTCTGCGGCAGTATATTTTTTTATAAAACGCCCCAAATCGATGTTTTTTTTCAAAAGTGATTATATTATACACATTTTGATACGTTATTCTCCTGAATTACTTATTTAAATGCTTCATAAAATCTTATACCTTTTATTCAAACTATACAGAGCTTATTTGCCTGAATGAATTGATATCTAAATGTTATGTAAGTCAGTAATATGTGAATTTAGGCTTAATTAGGGAACTTTCTGACTTTCATACCATACATTAATTTATTGAGAAATTTTTCATGAAAAAATAACATTGTTGATAAAAATTGATTTTTTTTTCAGACGCTAACCTCTTCAGCAGTTTGCTGGTGCATTTTAGTGAAGGCACCTTCGGCTGATAGTGATGTGAAAAAGAGAGAACTGGCATGCGCCGTAAGTTGTGTATTGTGAATACCATTAAAAGTAAATGATAATTCGAAAAAGATACATATTACGAGACTGATAGTATGTTAAATTTATCGATTTTACAAAAGTTGTTAAGTTCATAAATACATGATTTTTTGTTGTTGTGTTTTACGTGAAGCCAACGACCTAAACCTATACCACTCGGCCAGGGACGCCCCTACATACATGTACTTCAGATATATAGCTTATAGTACATTACATAATACAGAGAAAGGAGAGCTAATGTGATACATTTTTGTGATCTTTAATATATAACAATAATCATTCTTCTCCGCACACTAAACTTGGGTAATAATAGTAAATTTATGAAGGAAAATGCCTGTTTATCTATCGATCATAAATCATAATTTATCAAAGTATTGACATATATTTTCAGATGCAGGGACAGTACATTTTATCTATGTTCACTATAATGGGATGTTTTATCGGCTGTGTTAGTGCGGGGGTAGGGGGATTTAGCTCCACATCATCTAGCTTTCGAGATGAGGACGAAGAAGATGACGGACCAAAGAAAACGCTTGCATTAATAATTCTACTTGGCTGCATTGGTGCAATATTTCTTACAATATTCTCAATGTGTATTGTGTGTACATACGGTTCATATTTTGGCGTGCACATACAGCGCGGAAGGCGGGGTCGCATGGTATTTATAAATACTAACGGACAATCAACAATGCCCACTGTTTTCCAAACCAATACAGTCCAGACCGGTATGAATGTAAATGATGCACAGATTAGTCAGTTGGAGGCACAAAATCGTCTGCTACAACAACAACTTGATCTCCAACGACAGATGTTTGAACAACAGCAGCAACAACAACAACAGACACAGTATTCAACTGGTGTATATCCACCGCCTCCACCTTCGTATCCGGGATTCAGTACAACCGGTCCCACAGCACCGCCGCCCAATTATTATGATGTCAAGTAGGAGGAACTTAACTTAAATAAATTTTACTCTGCCCATTTGACTATATTAAATGATAAACATATTGATCAATACCTTGAAAATATTGCCAGTGATTAACTTAACATTTTGACCAACAAATTGTAGTTTAATGTGTTTGTTCATACATGTACTTCATTGATGTGACAATTTATACAACCTTTTCTATCTTTTTTTTTTTAAAAAGATTTATGTTTGTTATTTAAATCCATTAGTGGTATTGTTTACGTCGAATATAATTTCTGATATTAAATATCAAATAAAAAACAAAACATGTATTTTGACCATTAGCTTTTGTTAAAAATTCACGAGGTCTGAAAAGTGAAAACACATCGTATATTTTGGCAACACTGAAGTGAAGTACGGGCAACTTTTAACAGCTGCCACACGGCACTTGACACCTGCTGTTGTGAAGTATAAAAGTCAGGAAACAAAGTGATCCCTCGGAAGCATTAATCACAACAAAATTACACAAGCATTGCAGACTCGGTTTGATTGAGTCTGTATATGAGGTGAGACTGGAGCCCACATATGTACTCTTTCAACCTATTACACGGACACGGTGCAATTCATTTGCGAACTAAACCATTTGTACAGCATTGACAGAAACATATTTTGTTATTGTTAAATGCAGTTCAAAACTTACAAATTCGAATAAGGAGAAAAACCGACCAGAACAGTCACATGTCAAAATTAAAAATATGTACATGATCAGTTAATATCTTCAATAACTTCGTCAAAACAGAACCTAGGATGCTGAAACCTTTAATCCGAGTGTGGCATATATATTGCATTATGGAATAGACATACTAATGAACTTCAAAATAACAAAGAAACCCACTTGCCTGGCAAAAATTTGTTCACCCGTTTCAAAAAATCACGCCGTGTTCGCCATTTTGTCAAGTTTGCAACCAATTCGCTCGCTTGGACCAAGTGTGCAACCACTTCACGTCCTGCCCCTTGAGTGCGTGCCATGCAAATGGCCCCAGCTATGGCACAAACGCGGAATTACATCCGATATTACAGCGTTAGAGTTATTCCCCATTTTTGTCGCGTTATGTATTTGGGGCTCGGATTTAGTTAACAAAACAATCAGATTCAATTGCGATAATATGGCCGTAGTTCAGATAATAAACAAGACTAAAATTTTCCCCATTGCTGACTGAACGAATGCATATCTACTAGACGTCGCGTGTACGCGGCGTCTAATAATAAATTTCTTTCTATTGGTTCAGCACACAAAATTTTGATATTGATACAAAATGACTTAAGTGTAACCTTGACCTTGACCTGAGAAAGGTCAAACCTGTGCTCTGCACATCATTAATATAGTTTGTTAACCAGTAGCAATGTTCAAACCTGGTCAAACTGCACAGAATTATATGCTGCAGATTGGTCTGCCTCTACACGGGTGGAAAAAGAATTTCACCAGACTAATCAACAGAATATTTTAGATTTATATTTGAATTAGTACATGAAGGCCAATTCCAAGACTTTTTGGGGCCTTTATTAGTCATTGATAGTTAGAAGGCTTATCTTTATGGCATCGGTCTAGATTTACCAGATACATGTCTTGTGTACACTACATGTATATGCCATAATTTGTATTCATGCATGTGGCTTTAAAGCTTATACATTCTAGCTTTACTGGTGGAAGAACATACTTTAGGATATTATTTCATTAATTTGAGGGTACGCAAGTGGAACCACCAACCTTCCTGACAACTTCCTAACTTGAAAAGACTCCAATTTTTTCTGATGAGATTTGAACTAACAGCTAGTGTTGAAGGTCAAGTGATATTAAGTCTGTGACACAGTCCCGTACTCCTCTATGTTAAATATCTTTAAAATAACTATAAACCATTCTAAAGAGTAAAGTCATATGAAAAGAAGTCTTTTATTTCAATATATGAGCCGCGTCACGACAAAACCAACAAAATGGGTTTGCGACCTGCATCCGCGCAGGCTGGTCTGGATCCATGCTGTTCGCTTACCAACTCTATTACAAGTGGAGAAACTGATAGTGAACAGCATGGATCCTGATCAGACTGTGCGGATACGCATGCTGGTCTTGACACATGCTGGTCTTGACACATGCTGGTCGCAAACCCACTATGTTAGTTTTGACGCGGCTCAATTATTCTACCAGAAATGTCATCAGTTTGTAGGTAGACATCATTGTGTCAAAAATCTTGTATGAAAATCTATCACATAATAATTACGTTAATAAAGTTATTTCATACTGGATCAGTTAACAGGACAAAGATATTTTAATTGGCTATTACATAAGCCATCAATACTAATAATGGCTTTATAACAATTAATGAAGTAAATATGAAATCACAAAAGTAATATCAATTTTATATTACAGCAATTTATAACACATGTTTATACATTTTAAACTTAATCTTCTTTGATTTATGTAAATTAATGTTATATTATAATGACAGGAAATTACATCTCAAACCTCTGTAAGGCAATCACCTCTTTACAACAACAGTATCATAAAAAATTAGCAAACAAAACTCTATGTCTACTCAGAATGCCAGAAGTACAGAAATGTTCAATGTTTTTAAAACAAAACAAAATAGAAATTTT